CTCAGAGGCAACGATGGGGAGACCTAGTCTCACGTCCTTCGTGCACGTTGTCAGGAAGGATGAGTCCTTGACATCATGCCGAGAAAGGTGGAGGGTCAGGAAAAGAGAAGGCGACCCTTAACTAGCTGAACTGACAGGGTGATCACAGCCGCTCCCTCGAGCGTGCTGGAAATGTGAGGATGGGGCCAGCAGGGCCAGATTCACAGCATCTCCAGGAGCTTGTAGGTCTGGGGGTGGCAGCTAACAACCATCACCAGGTTGAGACAAGCAACTTCCCCAAACAAAGACCCACACCACAGGTGCCAGGCGGGGTCCAGCGCAGGAGAATCCGTGCCTGTTGATTCCCTTATAAACTTTGACCCAAGTGTCATGAGACACCACTCCACTGGTGAGCTTGGGCAATGCATTAAGAAAGCCCTGAGGGATAAGACACCCACAACGAATGCTCTCCCGCCAGAGAGCTGCCTGCAGGAAACAGTTTGTATGTCTAGATGCTTTTTCTAAACCATGAAGGCACCTTGTCCTGGTGGATCTTCCTGCTGTCTGCGTTGGTGTATACACTTGATTGGGCTGATGGGACAGGAGGCAGTGACAGGGGCAGGCTGACTCCTGGTCCTACCCATCTGTGGGGCAGAGACAGGGGCCAGTAAGTGCAGCTGGAAAGAGCTGGACAGAAGCAGGCGAGACCCACTTCCCTTTCTTCTCGTCTCTCCAGCTTCAACTGAGCTTTTATTTCATGATACCCAATAGTATCCTTTACAGGAAACCCAAAGAGTTTGGCTCTCACTAAAACACTGAGAATATTCACAATTGTGAGGCCAGAATAACTCATAGCTGTTTCAGAAGCTGCAAATCACAGGGGCGGGACTGTCCATCTTCGTCCTGACAAGCTGCCGGTGGAACCACCAGAGAGCTGACCTGCCTGGTCAGCAGTCCAGCAGCCAGGGGACCACGCCACACTGTTGTTGCTAGAGGTCATCAAATAGGACTCAGAGCGACTCTGAACAGACAACCAGAACCCTGCCCTGGCCTGTGCCATCCTTACCATCTCGGAGACACAAGAGCCCACTGCTGAAGTCACAGGGTCAGTCCATCTCGTGTGCACCCAGCACAGCAGAGTTCTTCTCACCTGTGCCAGAGCTTCTGCAGTGAACACCGTGGCATTCCCAGCAGGCGGGGATGCTGTGCATGTGGGGCTTGTCCCCTGGCTCCTGGTCCCAGAGGAGGAGGTCCTCCACCCGCAGCCTCTCTGTTCGCCTCGCTGTCCGCCTCGCTGTCCGCCTGTCCGCCTCTCTGTCTGCCTCTGTCCGCCTCGCTGTGATGGTCAGGAATGCTGGAGTGGCAGGGGTCCTGTGCACGTGGGCTGTGTTTTCTTTTATCTTCATGTTTACTATACAAGGACACTTTTTCCCACCAAGTGCTCATATCTTCGAGCAAGAGCATGTTTCCCAGCAAAGACATCCGTGGTTTCTGCGTTCAATTCCAAAAGCCTTTTCTTTAAGTAAGAACCTCACACACTCAGCACAGAACTCCCACCTCAAGTCTTCTCCAACTGTTTCATGAGCTGGCTCGGTCTACTCCCCCACAAGTCCATGAATCAGATTTTTCAAAGTCACACCAATGGTTGCTAGGTGGCATGCCCCCAGTGTCCACTGTGTTTCACCTGCCTCTCCAGAAAAACTCCCAAGGTTTCAGATTCTGGTTAAAAATAACAATTCATAAGGATAGGAAAATGGACCTCAAATTGATTTCAAATTTCACCCCAGCTGAGAGTGACGAGTAACAGCTTCAGGGGGACAGAAAGGAAAGTCACCACCAAGATGATGTTGTTGATGAGAATGGCACAGGCCAGGCCAGGACTCAGATCTGTCGTTCACAGGGTCACGTGAGTCACACTCAACTTGGTGGCACCTGACAACATTGCAAACAGTAATCTGAAAATCAAACATGCTCCTTTCATTTCTTCAGCTCAATTAAAGCAAGTAAATTACATTTCTATAGGTGTGGCCACTTTGTCTCCACAAAGAAGAAAGACAGTAGCTTACAGAACATCTTTCCCAAGACCTCCAAGACCCTGATCTTCATAAAACCAGCAGCTAACATGCTGATTCTTACTCACAGGACCCAACGTGCCAGAGCAGAGCCAAGCTCCGGGGATCGCACTGGAACCCAACGTGTCAGAGGAGAGCTGAGCTCCGGGGACCGCATGGGGACCCAATGTGTCAGAGGAGAGCTGAGCTCCAGGGACCACAAGGGGATCCAACATGTCAGAGGAGAGCCGAGCTCCAGGGACCGCACGGGGACACTCATGCTGTGCTCTATGGTCCCAATGGCTGATGCTGTTAAAGTAGATCACTAAGCCCTTTTTCAAAGATACTTTGATGTAGCCTCAAACCTCCAAACTTCTGGCTAGTAGGCAGGGTGCTATCCAGTAGCCCCAGAATGATGATGGACTCAAAGACTTTCTGAGCCTCAAATGGACTCAGATATCCCCTGTTCGACCCCTCTCCCAGCCAGAGACCAAATTCCCTCCTTCAAAAACTGCATGTGGGTGTTCTGATAGTCTCAGTGCCCATATTCTCTGTGGGCAACACATCTACACCTCTTGCTGGTAAATTCAAACACATGGGTTCTGGAGGCCTTTACGGGAAGAGACCACATCATCCTGCTCTCGTTAGTGGATTTGAACTGCCAACTTTTAGGCCAGCAGTCCAACACTTAACCTATGCAGAGCTCCTGACTCCACACATTACTTTCTGGACTACTCCCTCTCATTGTTAACTTGAGACAAGGTTCATCCCCCAGGTACATGAAATTAACCGAAAGAAACGTGTGTCTTGGGAAAAGTACAGCCAGTGTGCTCCCTGGAGGCAAAGATGGAGAAGCTGTGTCTTCTATCCTTTGGACACGTAGCCAGGCAAGGCTCTTCTGTGGTAAAGGTTATCATGCTTGGGAAGATGGAGGGATCACAAAGGAGAGGAAGACCTCCCAATGAGATGGATTGACATGGTGACTTCAGGAATGGGCTCTGGTATGTCGGAGAGGATGAGGATGGCACAGGGCAGGGCAGGGTTCAGGGGGCTGTTCAGGTCGCTGTGTATCATACTCAACTAGACAGCAACAAGAACAATAAAAAGACAAGAACTGGTTTAGTATTTCTCGAGCTAAAGGAACTAAAAAAACAAATTCAAGCCTCAAGTTCCAATACTTAGATATGCTATGCGCAAAATCATGAATGATTTTGAAACTCCAAAAGAAGATGGAGGGAATATACAGAGTCACTGTACCAAAAAGAATTGGCTGACACTGAAATATTTAAAGAAGTACTATATGATCAAGAGCAAATGATAATGAAGGAAGACATTCAAACTGCACTGAAGGCACTGGCAAAAATAAGGCTCTGAGAATAGATGAGAAACACTAGCTATGTTTCTCGTGTGCTCACCAGGCTATGCTAAGAAATTTGGAAGACAGCTGCCTTGCCCATTGACTGGAAAAGGTCCATTTTATTCTCATTTCCAATAAAGGTGATCTAACAGGATGTGGAAATTATCAAACAATGTCACTAATATCACATGCAAGCAAAATACTGCTGAAGATCATCCAAAAATGACTAGAACACTCAATATGGTGAAAATGGCAATCCTACCAAAAGCAATCTACATGTTCAGTGCAATCCCAATCCAGATAGCAAATTCATTTTTCATGGAGATTGGAAGGGAAATTATCAAATTTATTTGGAGAGAGAAGAGACCCCAAATAAGAAAAACACTTCTGAGAAACAAAAATGAGGTTAGAGGTATAGCACTCCATGACCGCAAAACCTATTTTACAGCAGTGGTAACCAAAACAGCATGGTCCTGGTACAATGACAGGCACATCGACCAGTGGAACAGAATTGAGAACCCAGA